GTTTTTTAAGTTTGAATAACATTTACGCTTTTTTTTCATCTTCTAATAATCAAGTTTCTGTTTTATGTTCTTAGAATCTTTTTCTTGAAGACTCTATTAAATTACAGATTGCCTAAAATGGGTGGGTTTGACACTGATAGATCCTCGGATAGCATTAGCTCAGGAGACGGGAGAGAGCTGCTTCTGGAAGCCTTCTCCTGGCTGGGTGGGCGTTTGTGGGTGGGAGGCTGTGTGCTATATCCCTTGATGAGAAAGGGGACACTCTTTCCCCCTCCTTCTTTCCTTTTCTAATTTGGGAACAATAGACGTGAGGTTTCGGGTAGGTGTAGATTCACCCCCCTCCCCTCCCCTCCCAGCCCTGGGAATTGAACCTAGGGCCTCACGCATGCTCGGTGTACTCTCTACCACTGAGCTGTATTCCCACCCCAGGTGAGTTTTGTCAGTGGTTTGAGCTATTGCAGTTCCCAGGCACACTGATCTCGGTTTGGGCAAGTACCTCATTGTCTGTTTAGGATAAGCAGACAAACCTGCTGACACTGTAGACACTGGAGCAGCCTTGGTCTGTTCTTCCCAAATAAGGTTAATGTAGCGAGAGCCACCTTTTGCCTCGTACCTTGGCTGGTTGAGGTACCAGGGATGAGGAATCCCAGCTTGCAGAACTAGCTGATGTACAGTGCGGCTTCCGGCGAGCATCCTGAGGGAGCTCTCTCAGAGTCTGTGAATGCCAGTATCCATCTCCTCAAACACGTCTCTGTGTGCCAGTTACTGCGTTGAGTCCCTTTGGGTGTGACCTTATTTATTTATTTATTTGTACAGCTTTTCTGAGGTACCACACACAAATCTTATAATGTGCCCATTGAAAGCGGATAGGCCTTTGGTTTGTAGTATGTTCATAGAGTTGCACAACCCTGACCGCACAGTTTTTGAGCACTTTCATCACCCAAGAGAGAACTCCCTCTTAGCCATAAATCCCTATTTTCCGCCAGTGCAGCCACTCCCCATGGCTCCTGGCAGTCCCGTAACTGCTTCTAGCTCTAGTTCCCTCCTGTCTAATTAGAATTAAACATCCTTGGCCAACCCCACCCACATCCCCGCTCCTCCCACCACTGGACCAGATGTTTTAGGTTCCACACCAGTAAGAGCATGTGGGGTTTGTCTTTCTGTGTCTAGCTTGTTTCCTCTAATGCTATACTCTGTAGCTTCATCTGAGCTGTCTCGGTGACGGCATGAACGATCGTCCACGGTGCAGATGTGCGTTATCTGTGACCCATCCTCAGTTGATTGACACTTGGGTTGGTGCCTGTGTTAGCCAGGAGTGCAGACATCTCCTTGGCATTGCTATGGCCTCATGTAGTCCCCTGTGAGTTAACAGTGTCTCCACTTGAACATCCAATGACTCTAATGTCACATAGCAAATGGAAGTAGTAAGGTTCAATCCAGGGTTCTCTATTCCTCTCCCACCGTCTTTCAGTGTTAATAAGTGGTGCTACTCCTCAGGGTGGTGGAATTGTCCTATACCTGATCTTAACCAAAGGCAGTGATGTGACTGAGTTGTTTTAATTATTATCATTATAGGGAAATGGGCCCCCAAGGGTCCAGTGATTTCCCCTAGTGAATGACTGGCCTGGCTCTGCCTAGAACTTAGGTGATGGGCCCATGCCTCTGGTTAGCCAGCATGTTGTCACAGAGTATTGTAGCCCAGGGTGACCTCGAAGTCAGTGTGGCCAAGGTTGGCCCAGTACTCCTTAACTGTTTTCCAAATAAATGAATTATAGGCATAGACAACCACATCTGGCCTGATACAACTGACACTTGGGTGGGAAAGGCCTATTCTCACATCTTGCTTTATACCATAGATGACTGTGGTACCTCCAGCCAGAAGAAGGCTGACACATGTCTAAATGGCCGGCACATGTCTATATGGCCTTAGTTTTCCCCAGGAGCTTCTTGTCAGGTCTTGTGGATGAGAAAGAACTAGACAGACAGTAATGAGTCTCCATCTTCAGTGCTCCTGAAAGATACATTTGTCTGGACAGATCCCTAGCAGCCTGACAGAGGTCTCCGAGTTACCCCGAACTCTAGTTCCAGGGCAGAGTATTCCTCTACAGGTTTGATAGAGAAATAGTGAAGACAGAGAGATCAGCAAGATCTTTATGGTGTCCTGATGAGGCCGCAGTGGAGGCCAGAACACCCTCAAGGTAGTTTGGTCGGCCGGCCTATCTATCTATCATCTGTTATTCTCTTTCTCTTCCCCTCCTTCCTTCCCTCCCCCTCTCTCCTTTCCTTCTCTTGCTTACTTGAGTGTGTGTGTATACCTGTGTGTGTGTGTGTGTGCGCGCGCGCGTTTGTGTGTAGGTGTAGGTGGGCCAGGGGACATCTTAAATTATCCTCAAGAATGCTGTCTTTGTTGCAGATAGGGTCTCTCATTGGTTGGGCATTCACTGGTTAGGCTAGATGGTTGGCCAACTAGCCCCAGGGATCTGTCAGTTTCTATCTCTTCAGTACTGGTATTCCAAGCACATACCACCATGCCCTGAATTTTTATGAGCATTCTGAGGGGTCCAACTCAGGTCTTCCTGCTTGCTTCCTGTCTTTCCAGTCCCCTTGGCCTTTTTTTGTTTGTTTGTTTTTGTTTGTTTGTTTGTTTGTTTGTTTTTTGAGACATCATCTTTTGTAGTTCAGTCTAGCCTTGAAGTTGCTAAGTAAGCAAAGCTGGCCTTTCACTCCAAGTGCTGGGATTATAGTTGTGGACTACCGTGACTAGCTTGTGTATCATACTGAGTTGTGTGGTTGGGTCGAGGACACCCCCAGGGCTTAAACCCAGGATAAGGGCCATGTGTCAAGAACTATGTCTAGATGTTGACTCAGATGTAGCTGCCAAAGGACCTCTACCCAGAGTCCTGGTACAGCTTAGCTTTTCGAGGGAGCAAATGGCAGAGAAGAGACCAAGCAGGTCCCAGATGCACCATTGCAGAGCAGCTGGCCGGGAGCTAGCAGCATATGCAAACCAGACTGAGAGGCTAGGCCTGGTCGGAAATTCATGGTGTGACTGTTGCCAGAACCTCTAATTTGGTCTTAAATTTTTTTTTAATGCAATGACTTTATTGTTTTCATTAAAGTGATACATGACCCTTATAAAAACAAAACAAAACAACATTCCATAGAGGAAAGTACAAAGGAAAAAAAGGCAATATATTGGTCCAAATCTTAGCTCCCAGAAGCAACCCATTTTAATAAGAAGACAGCTTTCCATGTAACCCCTATGCACACTGCAGACAGAACTGATGGCTAGAGAAATATATACACAGGTATTTTAAACAAGGTGTTAACTCTTATGCGTATAAGCTTCAGAATAAAAACCTGTTCCTTTTAAGTATTGGAGGAAGTGACTGAAGACGTAACTGGGAACCAGCAGCCAGACTACTTCGTTACCCGAGAACTAGGTTCTCAGGTGTGTCTTAAGACACTGGTTCTTAACCAGGGCTGATTTTTGCCCCCACAGGGTACCTGACAGTCTCTAGAGATAATTTCGTTGGTCAGAACAAGGACTTGGAGGCTTCTGGCATCACAGTAACAGAGGCCAGAGATGCTGCTTGCCGCCCTGTGAGGTACAAGCCAGCACCACAGCAGAGATCCACACACCCAGGGTGCTGGCAGTACCGAGGCGGAGAGACAGCAGCGAGCTTAGGAGAGAATGGTCCATGGCGGCCATGACGAGGTGATGGCATGGACTCGCTCGACTGCACTTTTAGCCGGTTTGGGCTTGGCATCTGTGACGAAAGCTACAATGGGTAATTTAATCCCTCCCAACCCCCATTCTCCTCTTAGCAACAAAAACAAAAGGTGTCATAATACTATTTTTACCTTGTCAAGATGCCTACCGTTTTTATCCTCTTCTGGAACTATGACCCCCCCCACCCCCTTCCACACACGTGAATGGTTCAGTGACAAATGGCATATCCCCACCCATGTTTTACCTCTACTGGGTTTGTTTAGAGTCACATCTTGGTGGATGCTGCATTGTCTCAATAAATATGTAATGTGTATTGGGAGGGAGGTGGCAGGCGGCACGCTGGCTCGCCCTGCTCAGGACAGAAACTACTTATTTGTGTCTTAGTGCTGTACTCAGGAGGAGGAGACCCGCTGTGCTCTAGGATAGGAGGGACTATGCGGTGGGGACTTGAGGGTTCAGTACAGAGGAAAGGTTATCAGTGTTCTTTCTGAGGGCTTCTGGAAGGTTAGAACCAGAGCCGTGTGAACACTACGGACAGACGGCTTGGGATGCCTCCTTTGCTAAAGTGTGCTGGCAAACCACCTGTTGCCATAGTGTACACAGATGCCGGGTTAAACATCAGCTGGGTGGCTATATTTAGGTTATTTTCGAGCCTTGGGATTCTGATAGGCTGATAGTACTTCTCGACAGCCACCTGTCCTAAGGAAGGGTTTCAGTCATCTGGCTCTCTCCTTGTGCTGTGTGTGACAAAGAGAATAGACAGAGCCATATTGTGTACACAGGTGACCCAGGAGAGAGCCTTGTATGTTCTGGGGTTTATTTATTTATTTATTTATTTTTTTCAAGACAGGATTTCTCTGTTTAGCCCTGGCTGTTTTGAAACTCGCTCTGTAGATGAGGCTGAGGTTGGTCTCAAACTCACAGAGATCTGCCTGCCTCTGTTTCCCAGTGCTGGGATAAAAGGCATACACCACCACAGCAAGGCATATTCTATATTTTTAAAATTTGGACCCGCCAATATAATGCTGACTCCAAGGTGTAGATGTTAGACTTTGTGAAGCTAGTTCCTGTTGGTGTCCATGGTTATTTGCAAGGCTGTGGTGACAGGGCACATCTGAAACCATTCCAGAGCCATTGCCTGTCGATGGTGTATATATTAAAGAACCCTACAAAGGAAGATCACATCTGCAGATTGTTCCTTGCATGGTTGAAATTGGGTGTTTGGCTCATCACACTGTGACTGATTGCTGGCTTTGTTCTATCCTAGGGGAGCTATCCAGTTTGGGAAGACTTCATAAACAAAGCTGGAAAGCTGCAGTCCCAGCTGCGGTAAGTAGAAACACGTATTCTACAGGAAAAGGTGACATCCTTAGGCAAGACAGGGAGGTGGATCGGCACACACGTCTGGCTTGAATTTAGAAGTGTCACAGACAGAGAAGTGCATAGCAGGCACAGTATAGAGCTGTATCAATTCATAGTCTCCTGTTGCACCCCTCGCCCCAGTCTTGTGTGAACTCAAACTCAAGTCGGCTCTGCCTCCTGCCATAGGAATTTTCAGAGTTGATTACATAGAGTAGCAATGGGTAATGTTTACATGGTGCCCACTGTATGCCAGGCTTATGTGAACTCGTCAGAAATCTCACTCCCACAAGCTTAAAAGAGCAGGCGTTAGTTTTCCTGATCTGGAAGCTGAGGCACAGGTGACAGCCTGTTCATAAAGAAGCCACTAGTGACAGAAACAGAGATGTAAACAGGAGTGGTCCAGTTCCAGAGTCCAAATTTGTTCTCATTCACTTGTGTTCTCCTCCCGCATACAGAGTTTAAAATCTCAGTGTAGACTGGTACACGGTTCCATTTACATGAAGCGAGTCTCAGCAGCGCTAGGCTGGGTTGCACAATTCGACGTTTACTAGGCGCTTTAGAGATAGACACTTAGACACTTAGAAGTACATTTTACAGTCTGAAGGTCATACACCTCAAGAAGCGGCTCAAACACGATCTGCCGCCGATTTTCTCTAGGAACCCCATATGACCTAGTGTGCCTCTTCATTATCATTTGCTGTGATAGACGAGATGCCCACAGGTTTCATCCTCTTTGAAGTCAGTGTGGGAAGAGCTACGGCTATGGTTGGTGGATACCCCAGAAAGCATGGGACACTTGAAAATGAGTATTTGGATATCCTCGATGGTGAGATTTGGGGAGTGACTGGTTTGAGACGGATGAGAGGGGGGTGAGAGGGCAGAGCAGTGGAGCAGGAAGTAGGGGTGTCCTGAGAAAAAGAGCCACCTGGGTGGTAGACAGATAAAGGAGGGTAACTTGTCATTTCTGAGCCTATGCCAGGGCTTATCAGAGGCTGCTGCTTAGAGCTGTCGCCTAGAGGCACATGGCTCCCCTGAAGCGTAGAAGAACTGGACTCTTTTGCGCATGGGTTTCCATCAGCTTCAGTTGTGTGTGTGTAGTGGGTATTTGCAGCCTTTTATATGACCCCCAAGTGGACCTTGGACCCAGAATATGTACCTTCTCTAGTTATTGGGTCTTTGACTGTCTCCTCGATTTCTGAGCTCATTGGGTCATGTCTGGGTCTTCTCCTGAAGGCTTCATCAGCCTTCTGTCATGGGGCTGCCCTGCTCTCCTGGCCTTTTCTCATCCACGGGGCTTATCTCACATAGGTTAGCGTCCTTCTGGTCTCCCCCTGAACTAAAGCGTTTACATTTCCCCTTCCCTTTCTTGTCTAGCCTCTGATTGTTTGATGATGGGCTTTCAGTGTGGGCCTGGAGAAAGGTTGTTCTCCTTCTCTTTAGCTGGCGAGAATAGTGGAGCCTGAAGTATGGAGCTCACTGCCTGTCATCAAACATAGAATGTAAGAGTCAAGGTAGACTTCTCAGCACCTGTCTCCCCCCCCCCCCCCCCCCGCAGCCCCCCATCTCAGCACCTGTCTTCTTTTGCAGCCCCCCATCTCAGCACCTGTCTTCCCCCCACCCCCCGCAGCCCCCCATCTCAGCACCTGTCTCCCCCCAGAGCTCCCCATCTATGTCTTCTGAGATCAGGGGGCATTTCTTTATCAGTTTATCAAACTGAGAGTTTAATTTTGTGTCCTGGAGAAAGGCTGCAGCTACCGCTGCAGAAGTAGCACATCTGTCTGTCTTGGAGTGTTTAAGCTGAATCACCCCGTGAGCTCTTGGTGATTCCCTTTTTGCCGTGTGCTCAAAGAAAGGGCCAAGATGTCCTTTGTGCTGTCAGAAACGGCAGTGTGTGAGAGTCATTAAAAGCTCTTAATTCCTCAAAATTGGCCAGCGTCAATTTGCAGAAGTCGACTCCAGTGACTGTAATGGACAAGGTTTGTCTGCAGCTGGCCCATAAAATGGGGTTGATTGGCATTGAGTTGAATGAGAATAAATAAATCAGGCCAGCTTGTCAGATATTAATCGTAAGTCAGATTGAGCTATTTATAAGTCTCAGGATGTTAGATAAAGATAACTTTTTCAATGTTTGCATTTGATGTCAACACTTTAAAAATACGCTTCAAATGTGTGTGTGTGTATGTGTGTAGGAACTACTGTTTAAAATTGAGCAGATATATTCTTGATCTGTTAGAGATTCTCAGACCTGATTTAGAAATTTGGCTGAAAGGACCATGGTCAGAACCTCCTAGAACTCTCTTGTTCCGTAGGCACTATTGCTGTGTTTAAGACAGACCATTTCCTTTTCTATATTCTGAACTCAGTTCTCTAGCCTTTATTCTTCTTGTAGTGACTTTGCCTTCGTAGGAGAAAGGCTCAGTAGAAACTAGAGTCCTGTAATAAACACTTGAAGACTGCATCAGTCTTGAGTTTGGTTTGAAGCCCTTGCGTGATAGGGGACTTTTGTTGGTTTGTCACAGAGCAGCCTGGGTGGGATGCTGGTCATTCCTCGGGTCATGATGTTGTAGGCCACAGAGTGCCCAGTGTGTCCAGCTGGTTGTGCTTTCGGGAATGGGTAAGAATGAAGGAAGATTCCTAAGGCATGGACTGAGCCGTAGTTCTTCCCATTGTTGCTTTTAGGACTTCAGAAGATGCAGTTGAGAGAGCATCCTGGGGCTGAACAAAACAAACAAAACCAAAACCCAGTAGTCCAGTCTTGTAGAGTTGGAGATTTAGGAAGTAAAGCTGTACCTAGCTCGCACCCTGTGTGGCAGTGGGTCAAGGTGGGCCATGAGTCACAGTGGTGGGGCATCAGTCACTCTGGTATGAACCAGTAATCTCTAAAATGTCTTTCAACTTGTGTTCTGGGTTTTCCTTTTTTTGGGGGGTGGGGGAAGGGCAGCAAAATGTTGATCTTTCTGCTCACCAAGATTTGGTTTCCTGCCAGTTCACGTGTACATAAATTACTTTCCTATTCTAACGCTCATGTCACTTGTGCCATCTACACTTTAACAATACTTTCTTCTTCTTTGGGATACAAACACCTCCCTTCTATTTCTTTGCTAAAAGTTTTGCTTGGTAGTTTCCACAGTCAGGCCATGTTTGGGGTTGAGTGCGAGGGAGAAAACACTTATCTATTGCTAGATCACTTCTCTGGAGGGTTCTGTTCACTGTGTAGCTGAGGTTTTAGCCCAAGAGCTGCAATGAATTTGCCAGTGAGACATTCCTCACGCTTTTGTTATCTGTTTGCATTTCAGGACAACAGTAGTAGCAGCAGCTGCCTTCTTGGACGCCTTTCAGAAAGTGGCTGACATGGCCACCAACACACGTGGTGAGCAGATGGAAGGCTGCCTTCCAGCACTAACTGGATCCAGCACGTGGGCTCTCCCCCTGGGCGGTTTCCCGAGAAGATACGGCTCTAGTTATCAGAGCCTGGCTGACTCATAGTTTTCATATATTTTTAACTCCGTGAGGTTGCGCATGTTAGAAGTTGTAACTAGTTCCCCAGATAGTGAAGTGTGTGTGAAGACTAGACAAGAAAGGAAAGGAGCCACCGTTCCTTCATGAGGCAGCTGGCTGTGGGTGTAACTCTATGCTCACTCAGTATAGGGCCTCGAGCTGCACCGTTGGGCCTGCTGTGACCTCCAGCAAGTTGCCTTATGCTCCTCCATGGTACCTGCTGGAATGGGAAGTCCTGGAGACAATTACATAGCTACTGTCCTGGGTTCTCATCAAACAAGGAATCCTTTTATGATAGGCACAGCATCCCGTGGGCTGTAACCATCTCTCTGTCCCTAGTCCTCCGCTGCAGACCCCATGAACAAGAGACCGATATAGTCCTGATTGTACCCCACAAGACACGGTGTCCAGAGCCTAATTGATATTTAAAATGTGTTTATGAAAGCAGTGACCAGAAGGTGTAATCTTTTGAAAAGATTTCATGGTTTCAGAGAATCTCAGGGTTTTTCATGAGATGTGAGAGGCGCCAGGAGAAAGGGGATACATGTAGGTTCACCTTCCTCTCATTCCCATGCAGCTAGTCTCTACTGGTTCCTTGCTTGGTCCTTCTGGGCTCCCTCATTGCATGCATAGCTATGAAGCTGCTCTCACTGATATTGGGAACTTTGGGTGTTTAGGGCAAAGCTGAGCCTCATTCCTAGTTACCTCCAGTGGTCCATCAAAACTGACTGTGGGCACTTAATTAAATATTCATAGATTGACACTCCAGATCCTTCTGGTGCAGGTCTGTCATGGGACCACAAGAACCAATATGTTTCCCCCTTGTCCCCAGAGGGCACACCGTTTGAGTAGGGAGACCGAGATGTGTAAATAAAGAATGCCTGTGCAGAAATAGTATGTGCGGCAAGGTAATAGCTGAATCACAGAGTACCAGGGGAGTATTGGAAAGTGAGCAATTAACCCAGCGCAGGGAACCCATTTCCCCAGGGGAGGTACTGTGTCTCCTCCTTTCTGAAATGCCAATAGCATTGCAGAACGTTCCCATGGCAGAATGACTGTGCCGTCAGCATCAGGCTTCCTTAGTCTGTCTGGTTTGTCTGTGCGGTGAAGGTCCTAACCCGTATAGTTTTGAAATTCCTTTAAAATGACTTGACTTAGATGTGCCTGTTGTAGAAACTCGGGAAACTTCGGTTCTAAAGAACTTAACATGCAAACCAGTGTTTGCTCCTGTGTAAATGTGTCTCTCCATCCCAGGTGTATTTCCTTCTCCCCTCAGCTGTCTGGAACTGTCAGCCAGACACAGGTTATCTACTTTGTGCAAGTGCTGGGGTGTGTGTGGGGACCAGAAGACAGCTTGCTGGAGTTGGTTCTCTGTTTCTAGCATGTGGGTTCAGGGATCAAACTGAGGCCCTCAGGTCTCCATCTTAGGTCCTCAGGTCTCCATCTTTGGCAGCAGGGGTTATTACCCGCTGAGCCTTCTTTTTTTTGAGATAGTCTTAAGTAGCCAAGACTACCCTTGGGCCCATTCTGCAGCTGAGGATGACCTTGAACTTCTGACCCTCCTGTTTCTGCCTCCTGGGTGCTGGGATCACAGGCGTGAGGGAGCCATCATGCCCAGCGTGGGATTGAATTCCCAAGGTTCTAGAATTCAGAGTATGTGTTTAGATTTTACTGTTAAATTACTGAGTGGACCATAAAGGAGCAACGGGAAAGGTGACCCTGATTGTCTGTGATTTCCTGTGGTAAGAACCTGAGTTTTTGAAGAGGCTGCTCCCAGGATGCTTTTTTTTTTGGGGGGGGGGGGG